TATATATAAATAAAGTCATTATCCATTTGTGGATTTGACAAGAAAAGAAGCCTGAAGCTTTTTGTGGAAGAAGTCAAGCTACCTTATAACACATTTGCCAAAATTAATCTCATAATGTAGGTGCTATAGTAGCTCTGTCTCTGTGATCCTTTGAGAAGATAATGGACTTTTCCTCCTTCAGGGAACAGACATGAGGATATGCTCCAAAGTGCCTTAAGGCGAAGGAAAGATCTCCTGCAGGAGCTTCGGGTAAGAGCCCTCTCTGTGGGCAGAAACAACAGACTGGGACAGGTTATCTGCACATCCACTACCAGTGTGGATTCAGTTTTTTCCTGTCCTTTAGTTTTTGGGCTGGGCAGCATTCAGTCCTCTGCTGGTGCCGCGTACAGAGCCAGGGCCAGCTAATCAGGGCCATGGGCCGGAGAGCAGTATGTCTTCCCTCACTGCAGCTAGTGAAGCTTGCACCCACTTGAGTTAGTTGGTGGGTTGATTCTGTTTGTCCTGAACTGCTGTATCATAAGCTCTCTGGGGTAGTGCCAAAGTGCAAATAGGCAATTTTTAATGCTGCCAAAATAGGGACAGTAGTAACTGTTACTTATTCCTACTTTGTAGAGGGTACCAACCGTTAATGAAACATTTTCCCAGACTTTTGGCAGTTTGTTCTTCACTTTTTTTCCATTCCTTTTTGCTTGTGCTGAAAACTGTATGGCTTCAAGACATGTGGGAAGAAAAACTTTCTTTATACTTGTGTGTGCACTGGCTGGGCGCTTCCCTTCATGCAGCGGTCACTTGTGGTCTGCCTGTCAGATGCAGCAGTGCTGGACGTTTCTGCAGCAGTGTTTTGGTGAGCGAGGCTGTGTCGTGCTGCGGGCTCCCAGAGTCTGATCTCATTTAGTCCAGAGAGCGTAACAAGAAATGTCTGCCTTTCTGTGACCAGATTTTCTTTAAGAAGATGCTTGATTTCGCAGGAGCAGCACCTTCTGGAAGAGCTTTCACAGCCCCCTGCACCAGCTGGAGGACACTGTCATAACCACAGAGCTGCCCACCCGCATGTCTACAACATACCTTTTCCAGCTCCTCAGCCAGAGCCACCAAGGATTATCCAGCAGACGGTAAGGATCCTCTTTCCTCGGAAATACCACTAGCGCTGTGCTGGTCTGAGACAACAGCTGCAGGTGGAGCGACTTGGGGGCTGTGTGGAAATGCTCATCCCACCGAAACAGGAGATAGACCTCTCTGCTGTTTTATGGACCCTTACTGCCCCAGGCAAAATCTAAGGGAAATCATCTTACAAATAAGGCACAAGTGTGAATGGTTCACCATAGGAACAAGGTAGCAAGAGGAGTAGGAGCACTGCCCATGCTCTGGCCCGGCTGCTCAGCCAGTTTCCAATGCACATTTTCCAATGCTGCTTGTGCAGCCCACAACCTCAACAGCTTCTTCGCGAGGATCTCATGGGAGACAATGTCCAAAGCCTTACTGAAGTCCAGGCAGATGGTACCCACTGCTCTCCCTTCCCAAAGATGAGGGAGCTGGCAAAACCAACCCTGCCTTCTCCACTTTTCTTTCTTTTTCAGATGCCGCCTCAGCCTGCCACCATCATCCAGCAGTTACCTCAGCCGCCCCCCCTGATCACGCAGATCCCCCCTGCCCAGCCTTTTGCAGCCCCCCGCTCTGGAAGCATTAAAGAAGGTAACGTACCTTCCATCTAGCAGCCAGCTCCCATCACCAGGCCTGGAGAGGGCAGGCAAGGTGCCACGGCAAGCGGAATGGGGCACGGGACAGCATCCAAGCTAGTTAGTGATGTGCTGTTCCATGACTGGAACATGCTGCTGGAGCTGTGGGAATTGCACTCCATAAATGGACTAGATACCATTCCTGAGAGGCTTTGGGACAAACTTTTATCACTAAAACCAAAGCAAAAGGGACAACTTAGCAAGGCCAGGTTAAACTGCCAGGGAAGCTTTGGAAAGCAAAACAGCTCAACCCACGGCACTGAGTAATATTAACAAGGTCAAACTCATCCACACAGATTATTCCGAAATTATCAAGTAGGCTTCTAAAATCTGTTTTTATTCTTTTGTTCCTTCTTAACCTGCTGTTCGATCTTCTCAGAACAATACAAGCTTTTATTATACCCCACGTTTGGAAACAAGACAGAACATCTGAAAGTGTTGTTCCAAATGTATTTCAATGCCAATAAAAAGAGTTTGTTTCTAAACATAGGTGGATGCTACTATGAAATAACACGTGAACCAAAACCTGGCTCAACCTTCAGACAAAAGTTTCTCTATCCTACAGAGAAATCCTCAGTCATGAAACTGCAATATTTCTCAGCTCTTTCTTCATCTAAGCATCTGGATTTTTGAATCGGAGTTTATTTTCATAAACAAAATAGTCCCAGTTCATGCATGACTTTTCTGAAGCTGAAACACATAACCTACTTTTGGTGTGACTCGATAAAAAATGGAGACTTGCCTTGATTCTTTTCTTCTTTTTTTCTCCCATCTCCCTTGTTCCTTCCACTGTTCCCAAACAAATTAGTTAAACTGCACAAGTCCTTTGTGATGAGGACCCAGGGATCATAGTAAGTAGATTTGATGCATGTGCAATGGACTCTCAAGGTGGCACTGCAATATCATGCAAACTTGAGGAAACCTCTCACATGCAAAAAATGATCTTGAGCCGAAGCAATGAAGAGCACTGGTCAGTCTCTGGTCAGTCCATGCTGGAGTAAGCGAGAGAGGTCTATCACTCTGTCCTTCTCCAGCCTGCCAGTCAGCATAGCCAGAGGGCTGGGCTTGTAGGGAACCTAACAGACAGAAGATGCTCAACAGCAGTAGAAGGGAGGAGAAACAGGAGAGCTGATCTAAACAGTCTTATTCATAAACATTAAATTTGCACTGCCTGGCCAAATAATGCTAATATTCTTCATGTGTCCCTTTCAGCTGCCCTGTTCTGGTTGCAGTGACCAGTCTGTATACTGGAGGGCACTTCTTACCAAGATGCCTCTGCTGCTTGCCAGTTGCTGATAAAGCTCTTACTTTCTTCCTTGGGGTGGCCTCTTCTCAGATATGGTAGAGATGATGCTGATGCAGAACGCTCAGATGCACCAGATCATCATGCAGAACATGATGCTGAAGGCTCTGCCACCGATGGCATTCGCACAGCCTGCTGGAGCCAGCTCTCCCCTGCTTCAGCATGCACAGCAGGTAATGAGTCTGAAGGGCATCCTTGCTCACACGAAGTGATGGTTGATCTTTTTGAGAGGGTGCAGGGCCTGGACAAAACATGCAGAAAGTCTGGGTCGTTTAACAGCTGTGCACATCTTCAAACCCACTGCAGCAGAAGACTGTTACTGAGCAGAGCACAGCCTGCCTCTTTACCATGATGAGCACTGTGACAGGACCCATGGAAGAATGTCTCCTCTACAAGTGCAAAATAGATTCAGTCCAGCTCTGAAAATTATCTGGCCTGTACAGTTGAACCACTAACAGACTATGCATGCAAGACACCTACACTGCGAATCTGCTGCTGCAGGTCCACTTGCTGCAAACAGCAGGACAATATTTATGTTACAAATCCTGCAACTGGTAAAATTTGACCTGGCAGTTTCAAATGGGTTAGAGCTGAAGCACAGATTTTCTGATTGTGCTTGGAGCCCCACTCCTCTAGTTCCTGTCTCACTGAAAATCAATGGCTACTGAGCTCTGAAAGGACAGATCTTAAAGATATTTTGGCATATAGATCCCTATAGGGATTTTTCCAAAACATATCCAGTGCCTGTTAATTTTGAATATATCCTTAGGTGCCAAATTCCTAAGCTATTTTTAACAAGGTGATATAGCTCCTTAGTGTGCTTAAATGTTTTGGGAACATGTATTTCTAGTCTCTAACCTGTAGCATTTTTTACCTGAGAAGCAAGGACAGTTGATCTTTGGGGAGGAGATGTCCAAGTGTTGCAAAAACTTCCCCTGTACATTTCCTACCCCTCCGTTTTCAGGCTAACTATGTCTTTTCCCTGTGCTGTAAGCAAGATTTGTTTTCTTCCTCTCAGATATTAAGGTTGTCGGGTGAGAAAGCAACTCCCACAGTTCTGCAGCCCTTGCCCAGATCACTCACACCTTTCCTACGTGCTATTTGCAAAAGCAACAGACGGCTTAAGAGGCCCCGAGGCCCGAGTTTAAGAGGGGTGGGAAATGCAATCCTCCTCCACAGCCCATCCCATGGCCTGGAAGGAGCTGACTGGTTTTTGCACCTGTTGGGACCAAATGTCTGCCCTGCACAGAAAGCCTCTGACAGCAGCTGCTAGCTCGCCGTATCGGGGCACTGACATCCCAGGAGGCCACCCGCAGCACGGAGGGGCCTGCTGGCTTTGTCAGCCATGGTGCCGGGCTGGTCTTGCCGTGGCAGTGGAAGGCGGTGCCGGCTCTCCCCTACGTCAGAGCTGCACTGAGTGTTGCCTCAGACAGAAGTCCTTTTCTATTTTCCTTAAACTTTGCAGTTTCTGGTTTTGAATACTTTTTCACCTTGCTGTGAGGGAGTGTCTGGGGCAGACAGTGGTGCTGGGAGAGGCAGCAGACTCATCTGCAGCTTTCTGTGGAGGACCCCGCGTGTAAGGGAAGATGGCAGAGGAAGAATGTGCGTCCCCCTGTCCCCCACCTTCCTCCCCAGGCCATCCTGTCACCGTGTGCTTCCCTGATGTAGACGAGTGGGATAAACTGGGGGGAGTGGGGTCTGAGTGCCTCTGAATATCAGATGAAATCTGAAATCACCAAGTGTTTTCTGGTCCTTCTATGTCGGAGCCTGCAAAACCCATCTCCAGACACGTGCTGAAGGGCTTTCTTTACCAAGGGGTGGCCGAGTGGGAACCCGGCCCCTCATCCAGGAACACTTCCCATGGGGGCACAGATTTCACAAATCGCCCTTTGTCTCTCTCCAACAAGGACCTGCAGTTTGCTGCTCCCCTGACCGTGAAAGCAGACAGGCCCAGGCCATCGGCGGTGCACCACCACCACCACTACCCTCCCACAGGGGTGCTCCCAGTGCCCCACGCGGGCTTCCCGTCCACATCCGCGGCACAGCACTGGACTGGCAGCACGCTCCCTGCCCTGCCCACGTAAGTAAACAGCCACGACATGAACTTTTAGCCCTTCTGTCCTGCACGTTGGGTAGCGAGGTAGACCAGTCAATCCCATGCCTTTGTGGTTCTTCACTGAGGCGAGTCCTGAATACTGCCTTTAACGCAGCAATGGGATTGAGGTGGGTGAGGTGATGATTTGATACACTCAATCTTATGACTTGAGTAATGATCCCTTGCTTACTGTGGATTAAACACCAGGATCAGACAAGGTCTATAGATGATACCAAGCTGTGCCCCTGCCATGCAGAGCCAACACCCAGCAACGCTGCATGGCTCTGCTGTGCAGTGGCTGTTGCCCTGCGTTTTGGGTCTTCCTGTGAACCCAGCAGAGACCTGCTAAATAAGGGCTGCATGTGTTTTACGTTCAGGCTAAGGTTCCCAGTAGGATTTATATTCTTAAAAGACTGATGAGACATTTGCTAATGAGAAATTTCTGGAAAAAAAAAAGCACCACCACTTGCTAAGGAAAATAGTACAAAGGGAGGGGAATACTCAGAAACAAAGCTGAGCCTTTGCGATAAGCCTGTGCTCGCAGCTGGGGTGTTTTTTCAAGTACAGAAATGGATGGACTTTCTCCCCAGGCTGCCCCCAGGTCTGTAGAGCCATGGAGCCCTTAGCGGAGGTCAGCAGCCGGCTCCTCCACAGGCTCACTTGCCTGTGCCCTCCCTGCTATCTCTGGCCAGTGGCAGGAGGGGCCTTGGGCAAGGATCTGTGCCAAGAGAGAGCAGTGGTCTTGCCGAGTACATCAGGAGGGGATAGCAGGAAAGCAGGCATGGAAGCAGCAGTGCTAGGAAGTTCTTACATGCCGAGGCTGGTAAAGAAACGCAGATTCCTAGAGTGTTATGTTGTGGCTGGGGACTTTGGCATGGGGACTAACTGTTGCACTCGTGAGAACACGGCTTTTATTTCTGTGCAATGTCTCTTTCAAAGCCTTAGTGAACAGAAGGGCAGGACGGAGGCAGCTGCATCCTCAGGCATGGGTGACCTGCTGGCAGGAGTATCTGTATCTCTTTAGCATGGGATTTGGAACAGATTATTTGCCTAATGGGATTATAAGCAATAAACATTTCTACCCCTTTCACTTTTACATGGATTTGTAATCTGTATCGGTAAACATCTCTTGGCTCCTACCAGAATCAGAGTGCAATTAGTTGTTTTCAGAAATCAGCAAAGGAAGATCTTGTCATGGCTTTTAAGCTGGCTTCTTCCTCTTCTTCAGCTACCTTCCACCATAAATTATGAGATCTGACACATCTGCACTGTCCTTTTGCAGCTGCAGCGAGCACGCACTGCTGACTATTACCAAACACAATAAAGCCATTTTTCTTGTTGCAGGTGGCCCACATACTGACAGTACGTGCTCCTCTGCAAGTGGACCATAGCATTGCTGAGGTCAACCTGTATTTGAACAGTTCCTAAATAACCTGTCTGATTGAACGCTTAATGTCTGTATGACTGCACATTGTTGGTACAAGAAACGAGCAGGAGAAAGACTGCAGATGTTCAGAAGAAATGTACCGTGCTCCTGTAGGCTGCTTACCCGTTTCTGCTAGTTCAGTTGTTTCCTCTCATCTTCCAAGCCCAAACCAGCCACAAGCAATCACCACTTTTTTTGCTGTCTCTTCTCAGAATCAAGAAAACCCATCACAAAGTGTATTGCAGGCCTGGCAGCCTACAGCAGCCCCTGGGCGTGAAATAATCTTACCACCAGTGCTATCTGAGTCCTTGCAAATGAGTATGACAAAGCTCCAGGGCTGGGAATCCCCTTCCTGTGCAAATGGAGGAAATGCCCCTTGCAAAGGGACCTGCTGCCATCTTGGCGGGGATGGTGCAAACTAACCCAAGAAGCCTGAATGAGGGTTTAGTTGCCAAACCTCATCAGCCTGAAGTTTTCCTCCCTCAGCATTTTTGGTTTTACTCCCTCACAGATATACTTGTCCTACAGTAATTACCTGTCCCAGAAACTAATGATGAGCAGGAATGATCCAAATGCAAGTTACCTACATAGCAGAGAAAAATCCTGGCACTGAATTTTCCTGAAGACCAGCACTCTGCCCTACCTATGAGAGTTGGCTTTACACACTATTTGGATAAATAATTCTCAATGGAGAAGAACAGAAAGAAATCTGCTCCTGTGGTCATCAGGTTTGAACGTTGAAGTGCAATAGCCACCCCCAGCTAACTGCAGTCCACATTTTCTTCCCCAGGAGAGCTCTGACTCCCAGTCTCCCCCAAATCTCACATTTACAAATCTACCTACAGTTTTCTTCTTTCTTTCTCAAAGAGCTATTAGAAGGTGATTTAAGCAGCCTGGAATTGTGCATATTTGTTTCATTATTTCTCAACCTTTCTCTCATATAATCAGGTTTTAGACTTGATTTTAAAAAAATAATAAAATCCTGAGGTTCTTCCTTGGATATTGGCATGTCTTTTTCTTCAACAACATAAATAGAACACTTTTCCCTTCTTTACTTTTCCCATTAATTTTCAGAGGGCAGGCTTTAATCCAAGCCCATGCTATCCTGTTTTTTTGTTTTCATTTAGGACTCCTTAGAAGGCTTGCTCAAAGTTTTAATTGAGCAATACTTTTTCATGCTCTCAGCAGCCTGGTTGTGTTTACTACAGAAAGATAAACAATGAATTAGTAGCGCTTTCTCAATGTCTTCCCACCTTCTCCTGTTTCTAAAGTGGAAAACATCCTTACATTGATTTTGCCTGATGCAGTTTGTGAGTGAATCTGATGAAGATAACCCAGGGACATAAATTTTTTTTGGAATGGTTACCTGGAAGAAAAGATATTGCATATATACAGATAGTCCCTGATAGGAAAGTTTAGTCTGGTTTGCCAAGAACTCTTGTCAGTAGCTAAGGAGATAGGTTTGGCAGCAAGAAGCTGATGTGTATCATCCTGGAAGAAAAAACTTTCAAGCTGTGGCTCATTTACCGTACCACGTAGTGCTGCTCGCCGTCGTGCTGGGTGCTTCCCCATGCCTCCTGCCTCCGGAGCAGGAACACAGACCATGGCTGAGGCAGCTTGTGCAGCTCTAGTTACACGATTGTGTGCTGCGTTATCCACAGGAGTCCATGAATTAATTGATGTATCTTAGAGTGATGCTATCAAATTGGTAAGCCAGGGTGGTGGAGTAATCTGTAAAGACTACCAGACAAGTATGCAAAGGGTGCTGTGAGTCATATTCCTAAATAATAACTGGCACCACTGGAAGCTAATGGAGTGCTGTCTGTGCTCTGAAAACAATTAATGAATAATTTATTTACTATGAAAATCTTACCTTGCTCTTTGCCCTCTCTGCTCTGTTTTCTTTGCTGGATGTGTGTAGGTCAATCAGATAGCATGGATCAATTCACTGGTGAGCAGATCAGAGAAACCCAGTGGAGGGTCTTCAGTGGCAACTCCTTTGGACACAGGCACTAACAGCCTTTAATAACCCCAGCCAGCCCCACCTGGGACCCTTGCCCTCTCCAAGCCCAGCAGTCCCATTTAAGCTTGGGCCTGGGGCTGCTTGTGGATCCTGTTGACCCCGTCCTGCATGTCCTCTCCTTGCATGGGAGTATGGCATGGTGCTTGCTCCCAGTCCCTCAGGAGCAGCTGGCCCTTCTTGCACCAGGAACCAGGATGTGCAATGGAGAACAGCACTGTGCTTGTGTGGGGATTTGATCCTGCTCCTTCGAGATGTCTGCTGTTCTAGGCTGTGCATTGCAGGTTTAGCAATAAACGGTACTTAGTGTATGTTAATGTATGTGTTTTTACTATCTGCTGTTTAATTATTGTGTGTAGGCTGTAATTGGCTCCTCCCTTCTAAAAGCTTACTATGTGCGGTGTTGGCTCAGCACAGCACTTCCTCCCAAGGACGTACATGTGAAATGGTGTGTGCAGAGATGTCTCCTCAAAGCCTCATCCAGGCTCCGGGAAGCTTCTGCAGCTTAGGCATGGACCTCTGCTCAGCATCACACCTCAAAACGCTCAAGCCATGCACAGCTTCTTTGGGCAAAAGATGTCCTTGCAGATGGGATCAGGTCCCTGGGCAAGCACTGTGGTTCACATCCCACTCTTAGGATAGTGCCCATGAGGCTCCAGGAGTTACTCCGCGTTGTCCCACTCATGGCTCTGCATTTGCAGCCCAGCGAAGTTCCAGCAAAAGCCCAGCAGATGCAAGTTGTCCTCCTGATCTGTGCACGTTTCATTAGGAGGTCCTTGAACACTGCAGAATTGCTTTACAGTTTTCAAAAGAGGCCTTTTAATAAGGCTTGGCTGAATAACGCCACATTCACATCTTTACCTAAGGCTCAGTGTGGCTGGCCACACGGCCAGGCTGATTCATGGACAGTCTCTGGGCTGGGAGTTAAACTTTAATATGAACCAGAGGAGAAGAACCCAGGCATGACTCAGCCACCCACGTCCTTCCCCTTCTCCTCCCCGCTGGCGAGGGCAGCGCAGCAGGACAGGGAGCGGGGACGCAGCAGTAAGAACCTGCAACCTGGGGGCTGCCTCAGCAATGGAGCCTGGTGACCCACGGGGGAAAAGAGTCGCTATTGTCGGCGGTGGTCTGGTAGGAAACACAATTTGGCTGCTGTGTGATTGTGTTTGCCACGGAGCCAGAGCTGTAAAAACATTGCTTGGACGTGGGGTGAATGTTTTTAAAATCATTCCTACTTCAGATGACGGGGTGTTATGGAGGAGTTGGTTGAGTTCCCACTGTGGGAGGCAGCAAGGCTCATTTGAGCAGCTAGGACTT